ATTAATATATAATTATTCTTAATTCCACCTGCAGGATGGAATGTTTATAACTATATATTCTTTAGTTAACTAAGATTTCTAAATATTGAAATCTGACCGTGATTTATCCAGTCATATATCATGCTATTAGTAAATTTTAATTAATTTAAATTAATTAAATAAAACCAGCATAATTACCAGTTATGTAGATATTCTCATCAAATGAGTAGGTAATCCCAGGAACTTGATTGGTTGTATGTAGGTGCATGAGTTGAGTGAAAAGTGGTGTTGGTTAGAAAGTCAGATTATAATTCTAAGTGTTAAGAGTTTTAAGAGTAGAGTGTTAGTCTCATAGATTGTTTCTGAGTCCCTCTCTCTGCATGTCTGAATCGGAATCCCCAAACTTCCAACTCCTCCCTCTGTATCTCTCTGTATATCAACTTTTCCCTTTGTCCTTACTTTTAAAGGGCCAGACTCTTTGTACGTCATTAGTTGATAAACCAATAGGAAGCCGTAGGTGTGTCCAATCTATGGATCGCAATTTAGGTATTTGATCCATAGATGGCAGTCTCGTCTAAACCTTCCTATCCAGGAAAGAGTTAACTTTTCCTGATGACGATTTTGACGTCATTTGGCTTATCTAAAATGACTACCATAACTTAGATTTGCTGTCAGTTCAAAGCGTTTTTCCCAGTCTTTGTGGCAACTACTTTGATCGTAACTTGTAAAATTGACAGTTATAAACTCAATTTCACCCCTTACTACAATGGAACCTTGTAAAATTTAGAAAGTAAAATGAATTACTGAGTCTTCTCTGTCACTAGTGTCTGTGTTTAGATAATACATTCCTTAGCTCAAGCAAGTGGCTAGTTACAGAAAATAAGGAGAAATCAAGGAAATTATGTGTTTTTGTTATCCTGAAGATAGCAAAATGGAGTCCGCTTTGTTTCTGAGTGACTTGGCAATATACACTTTTAATTTCTTTTTAGCACAAAATGTCTGTTGATATAAATATTCTGACACAACGAATTGCCAACTGGTCCCTTGAACAGCCCAGCTGCTGCCCTTGAACTCTAGCTGCAGCTCTCCTCTCATCCCAGAACACAAATGAATGCCCAACGATCCAGGCGACTTTTCCTAGGGAAACAAACAAAAGCATCACCACCATGCACAGTATCCTTGGTCCTACCACGCCGATTCAATCCAACATACCCAAATGCACGAATGACCTAAACCTGACCGATTCCCATCTCCCAATCCGCTTGACCACAGCCTCCCCCAGCCGCCTCGATTAGAAAAGAATGTGTTCCGAAGCTGCCTGGTTGTAACTCCAACTTAGCTAACCTTGTCAAACTGAAATCAAGAGAGGGAATAGCCATCCGCGTGTACCAACAACGACCTCCCAACAGCGGGCCTCCACGCCATGTATTGCGATACTGCGGTTACTGGACAAAGTGCCGAGTTGGCACTCCCCGCCGCTCCAGACCCCCCCCCCCGGCCCTATTGTGCTTGAAACACCGATTGAGCCTGTGGGCACCTCCGCAACCGACAATTGAACCCCCATTTGCATTGGCCCTCATTGAAGAGCCAGCATAAGCCCTTTTGCAAGGCGGCCGATGAGGCGGACTGTCCCCTTGCACCGGCTGTCTGTTGAAAGGGTTGCACCTTCTGCGCCATCATCAGCTTTATCCAGAGAGGAAGGTCCATCTGGTCCCACCTCATATCCGGATTAGCTGCCAGCTAGTGATGCACCGAACGGTTCGCCGGCGAACAGTTCCCGGAGAACATAGCGTGTTCGCGTCCGCCGTGGATGGCGAACACATGCGCGGTTCGATCCACCCCCTATTCGTCATCATTGAGTAAACTTTGACCCTGTACCTCACAGTCAGCAGACACATTCCAGCCAATTAGCAGCACACCCTACCTAGCAGACCCTCCCACCTACTGGACAGCATCCATTTTAGATTCATTCTCAAGCTGCATGCTTAGTGAGAGGAGGGAAAGTGTAGCTGCTGTTGATTAGATAGGGAAATGCATAGCTAGGTTAGGGTATACAGTGTCCACTACAGTCCTGAAGGACTCATCTGATCTCTGCTGTAAGGACAGCACCCCAAAAAGCCCTTTTTAGGGCTAGAACATCAGTCTGCTTTTTTTTTTTTCTGTGTAATGTAATTGCAGTTAGTTGTCTGCCACTGCTGCCAGCTTCTGTGTCAGGCTCACAGTGGATACTGTGCCCAGTGCCACCACTCACTCACTGGTGTCACAATAGCTTGCATTTAAAAACAAAAAACTTTTTCACTGTTATAGATTGAATAGCAGTTAGTTGTCTGGCCAGCTTCTGTGTCAGGCTCACAGGATACTGTGCCCATTTGCTCCAGTCAGTGCCACCACTCACCACTTCGGTGTCACAATAGCTTGTACTTAAAAACAAAAAACTTTTGCATTTAAAACAAAAAACTTTTTTCACTGTTATAGATTGAATAGCAGCCAGTGTCCTTAAAGCGGGTGTGTCAGGCTCACAGTGGATACGGTGCCCATTTGCCAGTCAGTGCCACCACTCACTCATATTTGGTGTCACAATAGCTTGCATTTAAAAACAAAAAACTTTTTTCACTGTTATAGATTGAATAGCAGTCAGTGTCCTTAAAGCGGGTGTGTCAGGCTCACAGTGGATACTGTGCCATTTGCCCAGTGCCACGACTCATATCTGGTGTCACAATAGCTTTGCATTTAAAACAAAAACTGCTGTTATAGACCAGACTGGCAGTTAGTTGTCTGCCACTGCTGCCAGCTTCTGTGTCAGGCTCACAGTGGATACTGTTGCCCATTTGCCCGATCGGTGCCACTCATATCTGGTGTCACAATAGCTTGCATTTAAAACAAAAACTTTTTTCATGTTATAGATTTGAATAGCAGTCATTGTTCTTAAAGCGGGTGTGTCAGGCTCACAGTGGATACTGTGCCCAGTGCCACCACTCACTCACTCTGGTGTCACAATAGCTTGCATTTAAAAACAAAAACTTTCACTGTTATAGATTGAATATGATTGGATTTTCTCAAAGCGGGTGTGTCAGGCTCACAGTGGATACTGTGCCCAGTGCCACCACTCACTCACTATGTCACAATAGCTTGCATTTAAAAACACAAAACTTTTTCACTGTTATAGATTGAATAGCAGTCAGTTGTCTGCCACTGCTGCCAGCTTCTGTGTCAGGCTCACAGTGCATACTGTGCCCATTTCCCCAGTCAGTGCCACCAATTACATCTGGTGTCACAATAGCTTGGATTTAAAAACAAAAAACTTTTTCACTGTTATAGATTGAATAGCAGTCAGTGTCCTTAAAGCGGGTGTGTCAGGCTCACAGTGGATACTGTGCCCAGTGCCACCACTCACTTACTGGTGTCACAATAGCTTGCATTTAAAAACAAAAAACTTTTTTCACTGTTATAGATTGAATAGTAGTTAGTTGTCTCAAAGCGGGTGTGTCAGCCCTACAGCGTGTACTCTGCCAGTTCACAGTGCCACTCATATCTGGTGTCACAATAGCTTGCATTTAAAAACAAAAAACTTTTTTCACTGTTATAGATTGAATAGCAGTTAGTTGTCTTCAAGCGGGTGTGTCAGGCCTACAGCGTGTACTCTGCCAGTTCACAGTGCCACTCATATCTGGTGTCATAATAGCTTGCATTTAAAAACAAAAAACTTTTTTCACTGGTATAGATTGAATAGCAGTTAGTTGTCTCAAAGCGGGTGTGTCAGGCTCACAGTGGATACTGTGCCCAGTGCCACCACTCACTCACTGGTGTCACAATAGCTTGCATTTAAAAACAAAAAAACTTTTTCACTGTTATAGATTGAATAGCAGTTAGTTGTCTGCCGGCGGGTGCGTCAGGCTCACAGTGGATACTGTGCCCAGTGCCACCACTCACTCACTGGTACCCGGACAAAATTTATTTTCACAAAAGGCAATCCCCAACCTGTACTCGATTGTGCAAAAGGAAATAATGGCATGTCTGGCACACAGTGTTGGGGCAAGGGTCCATCTGACCACTGATACCTGGTCTGCAAAGCATGGTCAGGGCAGGTATATCACCTACACTGCGCATTGGGCAAACCTGCTGACGGCTGCCAAGCATGGAATGCGTGGCTCTGCAGAGGAGTTGGTGACACCGCCATGACTTGCAGGCAGGCCTGCTGCCACCTCCTCTACTCCTCCTACTCCATCCTTTTCCATAACCTCCTCGGCTGAGTCCTCTTCTGCTGCTGCGTCTTGCTCCACATCAACGGATAGGGGACGTAACAGGGATTAAACTGATAAGAATAGTACTACTTAACACACCACTCCTATCTGGTGGCACATTAGATTGCACACGCAGTGCCCCAAATTTGTTGTGATCTGTGAGTAAGGTAAACGGTTGTCCATACAAGTAAGGTTACATAGAAACATAGAAACATAGAATGTGACGGCAGATAAGAACCATTCGGCCCATCTAGTCTGCCCAATTTTCTAAAAAACTTTCATTAGTCCTTAGCCTTATCTTATAGTTAGGATAGCCTTATGCCTATCCCATGCATGCTTAAACTCCTTTACTGTGTTAACCTCTACCACTTCAGCTGGAAGGCTATTCCATGCAACCACTACCCTCCCAGTAAAGTAATACTTCCTGATATTATTTTTAAACTTTGTCCCTCTAATTTAAGACTATGTCCTCTTGTTGTGGTAGTTTTTCTTCTTTTAAATATAGTCTCCTCCTTTACTGTGTTGATTCCCTTTATATATTTAAATGTTTCTATCATATCCCCCCTGTCTCGTCTTTCCTCCACAAGGTTGCAGCTTTTTGAGGGCCAAAACCACCGCCAGGCACTCCTTTTCAATGGCAGTATATTTACTTCCCTGGGCAAAAGTTTCCAGCTTAGATA